AAATTAGCAATTTTTAATTTGAAGTAGACTTGACCTCATTAAATCACATTTATTCTCATATAAGAAATAAATTAAATGCAAACATAAGCCCATAAAAAGATTATTTCTGATTCCGTCTACATGAGATCCTCTAGAACAATAATGCACATCATTCGTGGACACACTTGTCTCTATCAATACTTGTTCTGAGACAATAACATGGTGAGAGCCCGTAGCAGTGGGGATTCAATTGTTGCAATGTGCTCGAGTATGAATTGTATCCAGTGAGAGATGATTTATTGTTATGCTGAGATCCATTCGTTCTACCAGAGTGCTCTAATTCCTTAGGACCCCTCATGCTTCAAACGGTGAGGAACGTCACCTAAAAACACTGCCAAGTGTCTAAACCAAATGTGATATGTTAAACATATGCAAGCGCCGATCATCTATAGGACCCACGCTCCTGACACAAAGCAGAAGCAGATCCCCTGGCTTAGCTGTGGTAATTGGGAACTGAAATTAGTCACACTGACAGAACAGCTCAACAGGCTGTGACGTGGTTCATAAATCTATATCTTTACAACAACAGGAAAAACATGTTTCAGGTATCCTTTAAGGATTCATATATTATAGCTCAGAAACAGAACATTTTGACTTTATGGAAGAGCTGGGAACAACCTCGCTGGTAGCAGGTCTATGACTCCAGCTATATATTTACAAAGGCCAATCACATGACTCTCAAACATGCTTTCAGCATGTCACAATATTAAAATAAAATTATAAAATACCTTTGAACCCTGAAAACACGCTATATACATACAACCTCCTAGGCTAATAAAAGGAGATGCTCATCTTGACAGCTCCAGAATCAGCTCCAACAAATAATTCCCGCACCTTGTAAATCCCTATAGACATTTCAGGCTCCAGTGATACGAGACATAATATGGCTACGGCTGTTTTTCCCTAATAATTTTGGAGAAATAAGCACAATCTGCATCGAAGCTGCAACATTTACTCTTGAATAATGTATCTCCACTTTAAAGTGTCTCTCCTGGCTTCGGGAATGTGATGCGGTAACGAGGACGTGTTTTTTGGCTATACTGTGGCATCACAGTGTGAACAGCAAGCATCCAACTTTCACTCGATCTGAGGAAAGAAGGGCTGTAATGAAAATATCTGCATCGACTATGCAGTTTTTTTTTTGCATGTTTTTCTATTTACCCTTTAAAAAAATACACTTTTCCCTCCCAGGACAAAACTATCCACAAATACATAACAATGGACTTAAAGAAGACACTAGATACTTGGTTGAGTTAGTTTACTGCAAGTGCTCTAACTATTTCCTTTTGGCTCGCACATCCATGCACTTTGCAAAATGCTGCATTTCCACTTTGCTGTTGACATCGACTGTATGTCTGCAAATTTTAACATTTCAAACTTTGAGTGGAAAATGATGCGAATGTGACAAAACCAAGTATGGCTAAAACCTCAGGCTGTTGAGCTCTATGAGTAAACAGCTTAGTCTTTAACAGTTCCTGCTCATGTGTTGTCCCTGTAGAAGCACTTTGAGGTTTCTTTCTTTAATCTCTGACACTAAACGACATGAAGGCAGCACACCGTGTGATATATGTGTGCTGATGAATCACAGTGTCATAACAAGTCCTGTGGGCCCTTAGCATGATGCCCCCCCGCCCCGAAGAAATTGACCTGCTGAGACCTGGACTTTAGAAGACCTATGAAGTTGCCCTGTGGTAACTGGCAGCAAGGAATTAGCAACACAGTCCACAAGTTTCAAGGCCATAGCAATATGGTTGTTGTCAAACTCACTCACATCTGTACAGTTTCCCATTGCAGTAACTATGAGATCCAGCTGATACATGTGCCAGACTTTTATGTGATAATCAACATTATCAGCTTCATCTTTGAGTTGTTATATTAGCTATATTTTCTACCATGTACTGCACAGACTCTGTTTAAATCAAGTATGAGGAAGCAATGTAAAGCCTCTTCCACAGAATCCACTGCTCCACTATCAGTCCTCTGGGCTTATTATTGCGACTCCAATCACCAGAATTCACAGCATATGCTAACACCACACTATAAATCTTCTTAATTTGATGGTCCCATGTGGTCGATTTTGATGTATTGCTATGTGCCTCAGAACACTGCATGAACCCCAACATGCAAAATACACACACACACACACACACACACACACACACACACACACACAAAGAAGCACACACAGTATCCAATAACATAATCCTCCCAAGCCTTTTTAAAGCAGGCCCCTCCCCCAGTTAAAAGCCACCGTATGTCACTGTATAGAGCTGACTAATGAGCCAGTCAAGAGAAAACGCCCTTTACCTACAAGGTTAATAAGTTATTATTACATAATCAAGCATGTGCAACTCTGCACAGTATTCAGTCTATTCCCTCAATCCGACTGTTCTAAAACTGACAGTAAACACCTTGTGACAAATTACAAGTTGCTCTGTGTATTATATGTTTGGGGAGTTGAATGAAAAGTTATTGATTCATTTCACAAAAGGGAAGTTAACACACCACCATTGATACTGTGACCTCAGAAGAGCGTTCCTAACCTTCTAAGGGAAACATTTTAAGATCATCTCGCCTACAGGGTCAAATAGCAGTGAGTTTGTTATGGAAATTATCACCTGGCAAAAAGTCTAATCTCATGTCAAGTTCATGTCATATACGTCATCCGTGGCAGTGAGAAGTCTCCAACTTCATTGGACCACACCAGAATAATTTGGTAAGCAGAGTAAACCAGCCATAACCAACCGCATAAACTTAACTGAACTATATTTAAATGTTGATTATATTCTTTGTTGTGAAGCTCTTTGCAGAGGCGTCAGAAAACAAATGCCACATAAAAACATGAATTATGATTAGTTATCAAACAGACTAATAATTCATCCTAATCTTTATCTGATGTGGTGATTTGCTACTTTGCTACATCATTGTAAAGTAAACTTCAGTATTTCCTTATTGCAGTTCAGGTCATTACAGTCAAAAGCAGATGCCTCTGACATCTGTAGTAATTTAGATTTGAGGCCAACTTATAGAGGATTTTTAAGAGTAACACCGATATGTGTTGAGTCAAATATCTGATATAGTAATATGTGGCAATATTTTCTGTATCTTTCAGACACATGAATCAGATTTCCATAACATTAGTTGTCTGTAGTTTATATACTCACCTACGTTCTGCCTGAACGCTTGGATCAGGCTGGTTGTTGCATTTGTGGCATTTCAAACACGAGTGTTGGCAACAGGGAAGTTGCAGAGTGCCCTCTGGTGGACAAACTATCAAATATCAACCTTCACAACATAGCTGAAGGGTGTTTCTCCCTGTAACGTTAATCTATCAATAAATCAAACTTTCAGATTTGCCTTCAAACATTTTCATAATCATACATTGAATGCCAGAGTCAAGGAGAGCAGCAGTAAGACCTAAGCACAGAAATGACAGGTGGAACTGGGTTGCCAAGTGGCTTGGCAATTACGAGGATGTACTTTAAGCATGAATATCACACTTCATATGAGATTTAATAATTTGATGTATATAAAGGCATCAGCTAAGCTATCTGCTGATGTTATTTAATCATGCCTTTACATACAACTAAATCTATGGGATAGTTGTATTAAGAAAGAGTTGTAGTGGGCCAGAGCTAATCAATATAATTTTGAATTCCCCCAACTGGACCTGATCTCAGAGCTGCTTGTAGCACCAAAGCTGGCCTATAAATATTCCATTTCTGTGGCCAAACTTAAAGCTGAAAGTATTACATATTAAAGTGAACTGTTTCCCAACTCGACAACAAAACAGTAATAATCCGCAGAAAGCAAAAACGGCCAACAAAAGTCCAAAGAAATTCCCGCCGAGAGAAATCCTCTGTGATGGAAAAGTGCTCGCTATTCAGAACTATTGTTAGTTCTCTCCATGATGGGCAAATAAGTGTTGCCCTTTAATTTGGTTCTGAATGGTGCAGACTGGCGACAAAGCAACAGTACTCGTCCAAATCAAATCTCATGGCTCTACTTTCTGCGTGATTACACAATAACTCAGAGCTGACTGATTGCCTACCTCCTGAAAATGCTGCCAACGTCACTGAATAGAGAATGGCTGGATTGGTGCTGCCCGTTTCTATTCACGGCGCCTGCCACAGCAAAGGGGAGAGTGCTAATGGTGCTGAATAGTAATGGCTAGATACTCTTAGAATTGAGAAACACAAGGAAACCTGTGCTGAATGCAACTGCTCAAGAGCACATTATCTGTCATTCATAAAATATGAATGTTTTTGTGGATTCTACTAACTTCTAAAAGATTACCCTCCTATCTTTGATATGTTTCAAAGTTTCCCTTGTTCTGTAGGGGAAAAAAAGGAAAGAAATGGTTACGGGTGTCTTTCTGACTGACCACCAACAACCTTCATGTTAATGAAAACGTCTAGGAAGCCAGAAATTTTTACCACTTTATGGAACCCATAAATCAAACAGCTGTCTGCGTCCACCATCAGGCATGTGTAAAACGAAGATAGCAAGAGTCCCTTACGTTTCTTTTCTTTTATCTTCACTGCTTTTTCCGCTCGCACTGAATTTCTGTTCGTTCTCCTCGCTCAAAGAAAGACTAGTGAGGGTCGAAGAGTTATGCATTCAACAATTGCCCCTAATAGCTTAAAGTCCCCAAGAGGAGAATAAAGAAATAATTTAACATATAAAGTGAAGCAAAGGGACTTCGTACTGTGAGATGACACTCCGAGGACCAAGGACTAGTGCTCCTTTGGCCAAAGATGATAGACTCCATTAGAAATCAACAGGGGGGGACTTTCACACAGCTTTACTTGTGCCCACAGGGCTCCAGAAAATGTTATTTACCCCATTATTTATTGACACACTGCTGGAAAAATAATCCTGAAATGCAGGGAGGGTTTTCTTTGAATGCCATATTTTGAAGGTAAAAAAAAAAAATCCCCAATTTGCTTAAAAAAACGTACCTTAAGACACAGGAATAGTATCCAACATCGTCCAACTCTGCTGGTCGGAACCATATAGCGTCCTCTTCTTTGCTCATCCTTGTGCCATCGAAACTAATGGGTTCCTCAAAGTCCCCGTGTCCTGCGCTTTTGTACCACATAAGGCTAAGTCCTGTGCTCTGTGCATGGGTGTAGTTGGCCCGAATATATCCATAGAATAAAGCGCATTTAATCCTTACAGGTTCCCCCAGAAGCACTTTGTATTTCAGGTAGTCCACCGACCAGTCTGTGCAGCCTTCCACTGAAAAAGAAGCACAGGAAAAAAAGGGAAATTGAAACATGGATATTTTATGTACCAATTTGCATTATCACCAAGCACAGAAGTGGGGATTTGTTCTCGTGGACCATGTGCAAGCAGTCCTCGTATTACAATCAATCATGATGCTTGTTTCCTCCAGGCAGCACAAAATCGTAGCCCCTTTTTTGCCTTTCAAGTACATAGTAATATGAACACAAGTGGATATATATGCATGCCTTTGACACAAGGTGTCCTATAACCTGAAAAAAATGCATTCATGTGCTATTAAAGTGTTTTATTTCCACTGTGCCCCTTTGAATGTTAAAAATAACCCTCAACACAAGTTGTCGGCTCCAATCAGCGGTTCCTGCCTTCACCTACGGATATTTCCATATTTATATATTTAACTTGTGTGTCACTAGCGCACATATTGAATTGATTCTACCAGCAATAAACTCTGCATAAACCACCATCAATATATGTTTAAATGGCAGTGATGGCACTAAACTACATTTGACCTGAGAAAATTAGAAGCGGCTGTATGTCTGCATTCATTTCCGAAAGCTATCAGACTTTCCTCTTAATGGAAAAAAGTAACTTGTCTCATATTGTGCCGGATCGCATACCAGTGCTGAGCAATAGGGGTCTTCCTGTTAAGACATCTAACAAAGCCCACCAACTGTCAGTCAAAAAAAAGTTATGAAGATTAAATAGGAAAAGCATTATTCATGCAGAGCGAGCATTGAGGTGCTTTGGATTCCCAGACTTATTTTCCTTCTTAAGGTGTATATGAGATTCATGAGAAAGTCCAAATATCAAATTGATACTTAATCCTTGCCAAGCTCTTGCATACCAGTGAAAACTCTCTCTCTCTCTCTCTCTCTCACTCTCTCTCTCACACACACACACACACACACACACACACACACACACACACACACACACACACACACACACACACACACAAAAGCAGCAGCAGAGTTGCTATTTGAGATTTTAATATGCAGGGAGTTATGTAAAAAGACAGAAGTACAGTAAGTACTCATCAGTGTGACAACCAAGGATTTGGCGAGAAAAATCTCAACACCGATGCTGATGACTTCTCAAAGCCACACCAGTCTTCGAGCTGGGGCTTCATTTTGACACGTGTACTGAATTTCTCATACTTGTTCTGCTACCATGTTGACAACACCGGGTATTTCTATTTGCCTGTTCGCAGACCTGCCAAAGTACTCCCCCAAAAAACTTTGTGGTACTTTGTGCTACAGCTGACATTTAGCATATACAGACTATTAGGTATCTAGTTCATACATTTGCTCAGAGTTTTCCTGCAAACAAAAAAAACATGTATATAGTATTTTTTAAAAACTGGACTTTAATTTACTTTAGCTGTTTTTGAAAACAGCCAAAAATAGCAATTACATGACAAACACTTCAAGCATGCTAACTACATGCTGACCAATCACGATTGCATGCGTGATCACCCCCAAAAGCCTGTTTTGAGCCAGGAAAATCCAAAGACATTTTTTATGTATGTACTTATATATAGAATCACAAATCCATTGCAAATTCAAGAGAACACTGGACAGTTAGCATTGTCGAACTGACAAAAATTAACAGCTATCCAGGTACTCACACAAATACAGACAGACAGGTTTCTCTCTCTGAAAAATAAAAAAGTACCAATTATGCTTTGCAGCTGCATTTTCTGGAGATCAAAATGCAAAATTAGGGCAAGGATTGCTAACAAACAGACTTAAAGGCACACTGTGTAAAATCGAACCACTAGATGTCAGTAGATTGTAGTTTTCAGCCAACTAAGTTCTCGATTCAGGTGCATAATCCTAGCTACAGTGGCAACAATAGGACAAACAACTCTGGCCACTGTTTATCTGTAGTGAGTTCAGGCCGTCAGTCTGCTATTTACCTCTGCTGGTGCCCATGTGTATTGGATACCAGCTGAAGAGGCTGTAAAACTATGTGAAAGAAATCTGATACAACTTAATGAGTCACTGAAGTGGCTGTCTGTCCAGTGACAACGATACTAAGGCGACTTGTTGAGGATATGCTAAACTTTTCTTTTGCTAACTGCTTGCCAACAGCTTGCTGCGTTTAGCTGTTGTTAGCTTCCGTTAGCTGTTCAAAGAAAGATTCACTAATATTGGCTATCAGTGTTGGACTCTGACACTTATACGATGTGAGAATGTAAGCAAACTGCTTATCAAGAGAGAAAGTGTGATTTTTAGGACACCTGAGCCTAACGTTAGCTGCTGTAACAGCTTATAACCAGCTGTTGTTGTTGTAGCCGGTTTGCTGTCAGCTGTCCAAAGACGGGTGGGTCACATGTCTAATCTACTGACAATATGTAATTGTGACAATATCAGGAATAAACAATCATGTTTATATAGTTCCAGTTATATCTGACACAACAGCTACTCATTATTTTGTTGGTGCATTGGCAAAAAATGCATGTTCATACCAAGACTGCCAATTCTTCTGCAATCTGCTGCAACAAAATGATCAGTTTTCAATTTTCTAAATAAAGCTAAAGCTTTATGAAGACCTATGCTTGTGAGCTACGAACAAACAGTTTTACCGTGCTGCCACAGTTTTACATGTTTGAAACAAAAAGAGGCCACTCTGATGAAAAACAAGCTTTCACACTACTTCACCTTACCTTCACTATTTTCCCTTCCTGTTCCTGACATTCTCTTTTCTCCTCACTTCACCTTGCAGCAAAGCTCTTTTTTAAAAAAGCAGCTGGTGAGCACAGCTGTCTCATACTCAACAGGCCTCGCTAATTGAGCTTCTACAAATGTTTTATTTACCAAATAAGCAACTCAACCGCCAATCAGCGAGGTGTGCTGTGTGCTGCGGTTATTGGGGGGTAAATGTGGGAGGGGTGTTAACAGGGAATTCATTAACCATGCTGATTTGTGTTATTGTACTGTACTGTATGGGGCTGGAAGGGTCCTGCTGAGCGTGGAGGAAACAGTGCTTGTGGGTGCTTAATGTGTTGGAGAAAACAAGAAAAAAGGGAAAGAAATTCAAGAGAACAATACACAAAAAAGATGTCAAGATCGTGGCACACGGAGATGTTCCCAGGATATCAGCAGTGGAACAGCTGAACCTGGCATCCATGTACACCAGGCAGTCACAGCGGTTGGCTGGCAGAATTTCTGAATTTTTCTCTACGACTCACACCCGTTGTAGTTTTTTTCCTTCTAGGCAAAGGTTTCTGAACCTTTTTGTACTATGTGCAAATCCTATGTTAGTAATTGTCTGTTATGGTCGTATTGAGAGTTTGAATGTGACGATGGATGACTCATGACTGCAGTGGGAACAAATAGTAACCTGAATCTGAACCTGTGGAAGTCCATCACAATTACAGAGACTTTGAAGAGGAAGACTTTGCTGTCAGTCTCATGACAGTCTCATGAAATATATACTTTTCCACCTGAAAAACCTTTAATATAAAGTATTACGCAAAAGTGTTGAGTCACCCTTCATTTCTTCATATGTAAATGTACATGGAAATACAGTATATAAGGGGAAAATGGAGTTGGTACAATTCTAACAAGCCTGACAGTAAATATTTGGTATTACCACCTTTATTCTTCAGACATGCCTGAACTCTCTTAGCTAGCTTTGTCATTACTTTAAGTAGTCTTCAGAAATATTTCTCCAGAATTCTTGAAGGACATTCAAAACTTTCTTTGGATATTGGCTGCCTGCTACATTAACTTTGAGGTTTGGGCTCTTGGGAGGCCAATCCATGACTGACTGTGTAGCATTGTGTGCTTTTCTGTCAAGGTATACTTTTATACAGTATACAATGGCATTACATTGCAGATCAGAATCTGCCAGTACGTTTCTGTTTTCTATCAGTTTTGATTGATAGAACACTGCTGGTTGAAGTTCAGCCCCAAACCATCACAGCGGTTCCATCATGTTTTACAGATGGTTATAGATGCTCACTGTTGTACCTCTCTCCTCTCACCTTCTCTGCACATATTGACAGCATAATTTTACCAAAGATTTGAAATTTGGATTGGATGGATGAATCTCTCAGGTCATGTGTCAGGTATTTGCTGGACTTCCTAAGGACATGACTTTCAGATACTGTTGTGGATAGTTTTTAATTTTTCTTTTTTAGTCTGTCATTTTTTCTTTTGTCTTCCACATGTCCAGTTTCCTCATAGTTTTTCAAAGACATACAACACACCCTGACAAGATATGCCAAGTTTGATGTTAATAACTCTTTGGGAATGACCTCGTAGGCGATCTTTAATTTAGGGCTGGCTAAAGGCTTCTGCACAGTAATGTGGCATAAGGAACTGTGATAGAAAGACATGGATTTAAGATTCATATATATATATATATATATATATATATATATATATATATATATATATATATAAAATTTGTGTCATACATGTTTTTCAGTCATTTTTTGTTTTAAATTACATGGTTAGATATTGTTCTGTATGTTATGACAACATAACTGACAATTTCAGATCAGTCAATTTGCATCTTCAAAAGTTTTTATTTTCCTACTTTTTTCAAGGATTCAAATCTTTTTCCTTTAATTTGTCTCCTATTTGCACTTATTTTAGCACATCCAATCTATGTTCCTAGGAGTGAGGGGGTGACGCAGGCCCAAATAGTCATTTCTTCCCTGAGCACTTTAGGAATTTAATTTGTCCGTGCTTAATTTGCTTGCATGATAGGTGATTCTTTTCTGTTCGTCACTTAATTGGTATTCAGTTCAGCAATAGTTCACTTCATCTATGTCATACTAAAGTTGTTAAAATAAGACAGGAAACAGGAAATCAGTTAAGCAGATGCGACAGGCTAAAAAAAAAAGTATAGACAAGAGAAAGAAAGAAAGAAAGAAAGAAAGAAAGAAAGAAAGAAAGAAAGAAAGAAAGAAAGAAAGCACTTTTACACAAAACTAACTCTGGAATTCACCTAATCAAAAATGCTCAATTACAACACGCAGC